AGAGAGTTTGGGAGAAGGAGAGAATCAAACAGAATTAGCTGTAGGGTTCAGCAGGCCAGCTGGAGAGTCAGAAATGCAGCAGAATCCAGTTAGTGCCACTCAACACAGGCATCCTGTGATCCCTGCAGGACATCGGGACGCTCCCAGCTCAAGGTCACGTCCCCATCTCCTCTGCCCCCTCAGCCTCCAGGGCTCAGCAGTGAATCTGCTCCCAGATGCTCCACACAGGCTGCTCAACAGCCCTGTTATCTGCAGGACACACACATGGAACCACAGCAGCAACAAGAGTGTCCTGGGAAGGGCCCTTTCCACGGGAAAGGCTCTGGGAGGAGAGATCCCACGTGGGGGAGCAGCAGCTGTTCCTTCAAGGGGTTTGGTTCAAGTGGTTCAAACAGCAAAGGCCTTCAGCAAGAGGGTTATGACAACTCAGCTCCCCCTGCTCTGCTCTGGCACAGGGGGAACTCCCCCCTGTGCACCCACTCCTGCTCAGCCCCCCCAGTCCCCCCGGGCAGGAGGTTTGCAAAGAAAAGAGGAAGCAGCAGCAGAGAGATCTCACCCCACTTCCTCCCAAACAAGCAGCACTGCAGGGTTTGTTGCTGCAGAAGCAAAAACACCCTGAGATTTCCCAGAATGGGTTGGGAGGGACCTTAAAGCTCGTCCAGTGCCACCCCCTGCCATGGGCAGGGACACCTTCCACCAGCCCAGGTTGCTCCAACCTGGCCTGGAACACTTCAGTCACCCGTGCAGATGAGCAGCTTTGCTTCCAGGTATCCCTGGAAGTGCTGAGAGGGACCATCTGGAGCCAGCAAATCCCACGTGGCCTCCCCCCAGCACGGCTTTCCTTACTGGGAAAGGAAATTTCAGAAATTTAGATCAAATAAAGTGTTCTGTTCACCCTGCACAGGCCCACCTGGGGCTCATTCCCATGTCCAAAGGGGAACCTTGCCGTTATTCCAGGAGGAACATCGTTATTCCAGGAGGAACGTCAGGCCTTTCTTGCCAGCATTGCTCCTCAGAGCGTCCCTGGGAGAGCACCACACTCACCACAACCCCCAAAAGATGCCCTGAGTGGCAGGAACTACCCAGAGCTGTCGGCAGAGACACCTCCCGTGGCCACACCCCCCCTCCAGGAGGGGATTTCCCACCTCCAGGAATCTCATTAGTGCAGTGGCTAATTGTGGGATCAGATAACTCAGTGGATAATTATTGGATCAGATAACTCAGGACAACCCCAGGACTGATGCAATCCCTCTTCCCAGCCAGGAGCTGCTTCCAGCTTTGGTGGCAGGGCTGAACCCCTGAACCTTGACTTAATTACAATCCTTACAATAATAATGACAATTAACTGGCATTCTGCACTTCCAGGATGTCCCAGGAGCGGGAGCAGCTCCACCATCACATCCCCCTGGAGCTGGGGGGTGGGAATTTGTCCCCCTTTTGGGGCTGTTGCTGTCTCGTGCCCCCCAACACAAGATAAAGCAGCTATTTTTGCCCTCAGCGCTGGCTCGAGGTGCCAAGAGATAAAGGACTGGCACGTGAGGGGAACATCTGCCCTCTGCCAACCCAGGTGTGGAGCAGGAAACCCATCTCTGAGATAAAACAGGTTCTTGGGATGAGGTTACTGCGGGTTTGGGGTTTTTAAGAGCAGGGTTGAAAACAAACCCCAGCATTATAATTTTTCCGTGTTGCTCAGAGGTGCTCTGCAGTTTTTAGGGGTCACACTGAGGTGACCAAGTCTGTTTACAGATGGATTTAAAGGCAGTCCCTCCTCCAAGTTCATTTCCAGCAGCTCTTGGGAAAAAAAGGCTCAAGTCCAGATCTCCAAGTGATTAAAATGGCTCATTAAAACAGGATTTTAGGCAACCTCAACTCTTTTGCTACAGGAAAACAAGCATTTCCCAGCAGTAAGTGCAGAACAGAATGTGCATCACCAGGGGACAAGTAAATAGTTTCATTCCTTTGTTTTGTCTCCTGGAATTCAAACAGTTAGATACCAGTTCCTCTCTTACCCCCTCCCACTCCTTTCTCAGACAGGTCAGGATCACAACAGGCCTTGAAATCACAGAGACACGGGATGGTTTGGGCTGGGAGGGATCTTAGAGCTCGTCCAGTTCCTCCCCCAGGGCAGGGACACTTTCCACTATCCCAGGTTGCTCCAAGCTGGCCTTGGACACCTCCAGGGCTGGGGCAGCCACAGCTTCTCTGGGCAACCTGTGCCAGGGCCTCCCCACCCTCCCACGGGAGAATCCAGTGGAAAAGGAAGCAGAGGACAAAGCCTTGGCATTCCTGCAGTGGTCCATCATTCCAGGGTGATGCCACAACTCCTCTTTCCTCACCCAGTGTCCCTTCGAACCCCTGTCGGGTCAAGACCAGCTCTGGGTGACAGGATGTGACTCCCCAGCTGGAATTCCCTCCCCAGTTACACAACAGCGGCTTTCCAGGTCTCTCTCCACCCCGAGGAGAGGCCCCCCCCATCCCGGGAGCCGCTGAATTCCCACGGGGAGCTCCCGGGCTGTTCCCTCCCCATTCCCACCCCGAGCTCGGGGCACCGGCGGGTTCCAGAGGCACTGGGAGCCGCTTCCAGAGGCACATCCCGCTGGGACCCACAGCGAGCCCGACCCCGCTGCGGCCAAACCTGCCCCCATTCGGGTTTTTTTTTAACCCCAAACCACCGCACTCTTCCCCCCAAAACCAGCGTGTTCTTTCCCAAAAAACACCAGTCTTTCCCCCCCCAAAACCAGCGTGTTCTTCCCCCAAAACCACAGGGGTCCTCCCCCCAAAACCAGCGTGTTCTTTCCCCAAAAAACACCACTCTTCCCCCCAAAACCAGCGTGTTCTTCCCCAAAACCACCGTGCTCCCCCCAGACCCCACCGTCCCGGTCCAGCCGCTCCCCCCCCCCCCCCCAAACCACCCCCAAACCGCCGGGGCAGCACCGTTGTGACAGCACCGGCCCAGCGGGGTCGGGCTCGAGCTCGGGGCCCTCGCCGGGGGTGTCCCCGAGGAGACACCGGAGAAGCCCCGAGAAGCGACCGCGGCGGGGGTGGGGGGGCACCCAGGGGGTAACACCGGGGGGGGGGGTGACACCGGGGGCGGTGCCAGCGGTCGCCCCGCGCTACCTTTGGCCTGGCAGTCGGCGCAGAACTTGTTCTCGTCCTCGGCCAGCAGCCCGGCCAGCACCGCCTGGTACCGCTCCACGTCCCGCACCGACTTGCCCGTCATGGCGGGGCCGGCGCTGCCGCCCGCGGGTCACGGCCGGCGCCGCCGCTTCCGGCTTCCGCCCGGGGGCGGGGCTTAGCGGCGGGGAGGAGCCAATCGCCGCCCGCGCCCCCGAGGCACCGCCCCCACCGCGCGCGCCGCCGGTCCGCCCGCCGGGGATTGGTTGGCGGCGCGGCCGCGGGAGCCAATGGGAGAGGGCGAGGGGCGGGGCCACGGAGGGATGAATGGGCAGGTCACGTGTCAGGGGAATTTGGAGGGGGTTGTGGGGAATGGGGAGAATTTGGGGGGTTTGAGGGGAATTTTGGGAATTTGTGGGGAATGGGGGGGAATTTGGGGGGTTTGAGGAATGGGGGGAATTTGGGGGGAATGGGGGGGAGTTTGGGGGGTTTGAGGAATGGGGAGAATTTGGGGGGTTTGAGGAATGGAGGGAATTTGGGGGGTTTGAGGAATGGGGAGAATTTGGGGGGTTTGAGGAATGGAGGGAATTTGGGGGGAATGGGAAGAATTTGGGGGGTTTGAGGAATGGGGGGTTTGTGGGGAATTTTGGGAATTTGTGGGGAATGGGGGGGAATTTGTGGGGGTTGAGGAATGGAGGGAATTTGGGGGGAATGGGAAGAATTTAGGGGGTTGGGGGAATTTGAGGGGTTCAGGGCTGATGGGGGCAGATTTTGAGGAGCTGAGGAGTGCAGGGGTCCTGGCTGATTTGGGAAGGCTGAGGAGGGGCGGGGGGCTACAAGGGGTGCTGGGTGTGAGTTTTTGGGGGGCTGAGGGGTGCAGGAGTGCTGGGTGGAGGGGTACAGGGGTGCTGGTTATGGGGGTATAGGGAATTTTGGGGGTCTGCGTGCCGGGCTGGGACACGGGAAGAAAGACCAGGAGAGGAGATCCCAGCCTGGAGTCCCGACTGGTCTGTGTGCTGGGATGGCGCCGTGCCCACTGGGGAACATGCCCAGCACTGCTCTGCCACCCCTGACCCGTTCCTGGGGGCCCTTGAGCCCCCCCAAACCCGATGAATCAGCGGCTCATTGCGGAGCCTTCGAGCTCCGGGAGGAGGAGGAGGAGGAGGAGGAAGAACTCGCCGGGATGAATCATCCCGTGTTCCCGGGAGCTGGGGGGCGGCTGCCGGCACAGGCAGGAGCTGGGGGGGGGGGAGCTGGGCATGGAGGGGGGTGCGTGGGGCACCCACCCCCCATGGACATCGCCCTCGTGTGCTGCCAGGGCTGTAGGGGACAGCGGGGTGACCCCCCCGGCACAGCCCCCCTTCCCCTCCCAGTGCCACACTGGGGGCATTGCTGGGGGCAGCCCCAAGGGCTGCACGGGGCTCCCAGGGGAGAATTTGGGGCAGAACCCCCCCAGCACCCTCCCAGGGGTCAGAAATCCCGGTAGGAACCGGCTCCCAGTGCTGCACCCAGGCCTTGTGTGGCATCGCGATGGGGACAGCGCAGGGACACCCTGGGGGTGCCCACACACACATCCTGGCCGGGGGGTGCCCACACACACATCCTGGCCGGGGGGTGCCCACACACACATCCTGGCCGGGGTCTCCCAGGGCAGCTCCGGCTGCAGCTCCTCGGCTCATCCCGCTCCTCTCCCAGCCCCGTGTCTGTGCCAAATCCTCACCACCATCGTGCCAACCCCCCTGTCACCATCCAGCCGTGGAGGAGCCCAAAATAGCCCCGAGCTCACCTGGAGGGGGGCGGGGGGCCGGGGCTGCCGCCTGCCCTCATCCCACTGCTCCATATTAATGAGCCCCTTCCTCCTCCTCCTCCTCCTCCTCCTCCCCCCGTCCCTCCCGGTGTCCGGCGGTGCCGAACCCGAGCTCAGCGACACGAGCCCACCCGCGCTCGGCTCCGGCCGCCTTCGCCATGGCCGGGGGTCCCTCGTTGTTCCAGCTCTGGCTCGTGCTCCAAACCTCCTGCCTCTGCCTGGCCCAGCTCGTAAGTCCTGTGCTCGATCCCGCTCCGCTCCGGGCTGGGATGGGGCTGGAGAAGGGATGGAGAGGGGCTGGATGGAGAGGGGACGGTCCCCGTCTCCCCCGTCGCAGTGCTGAGCGCCCCCGCGACTTTTGGCTTCTTTTCCCAGCACCTTTCCCTTGCTTTTCCCAGGAATGGGGGGGTTGGGAACAGCCCCCAGCCGGGACCCACCGCCCCGACCCACCCGGGACCTCTCCGTGCCAAAAGCCCCGCGGGAAGAGGGGGCTTGGAAATCTGGGACTTGTTAGCTGGACAAGCTCAGTTTTATTTTCCCCCTCCGCCCTTTCCCTCCCCAGCAGCCGCCGGATCTGCTTCCCATCACCTGGGAAAATGTCCTTCTCCTTTCCCGGGATGTGCTGCGGCTCCGGACTGAGGGGGCTGCGGGGGGTCAGACCCTCCCAGGGCTGCCCCGGGGGGGGGGACACCAGCAGCGGGGGTCCTGGGGGTCCCGGTGGACACTCCGAACTCACCCAGGGACAGGAAAAAACGGATCGGGAAGAAGGGAAGGTGTCCCCCCGCTCCTCGGGGTGAGCAGTGCAGAGGAAGAGGCAGAGTTCCTCCTGGGAGCCCACCTGGGAAAACTCTCCCTGCCTCGCAGGGATGGGGGTAAAATCTGGTTTTTAGCCAGATTTTTAGAAAAGATTTTGGAAAATCTTTCCACGCGGCTCCTGTCGGCACAGTTTGGGGGGCAGCTCCCTCCTAGAACAGCCCCCCGGGATGCCCGTGGGCTCGTGGTGCCAGGGGCTGGCCAGGGGAGCGGGCTGGGGGATGTGGGAGCTGCGGGAACAAGGAACCATTTGGAAATCACTCGGGCAGGACAAAGGTGCCTTTCAGGGGCTCTCGCAGGGACCGGGACTCGCTCCCTCCCCGACCGCAGGGTTTGACCCAGGGCTCTCCTGTTCCGTGCACCAACCAGCAGCTCCCCTCACCCCTATATATTTATATTTATTATTTAAAATAACCCACCCTGGGGGGGGGGGGGGTCGGAGGAGCCGCAGGAGTTGCAGCCCAGCCACGTCTGGTTCCCATTTCCAGGAACGCCGCGGGTTCCGTCTCCAGGACTGGAATCTCTTCCCCCCGAACTCCCCGTTAGGATAACAGAGGTTTCTTTGCAGAGTCCTCTGCAAACCTGCGGGCCGGGGCCGGGCCCCGGCAGCTCCCCCGCCGCTCCTCAATGGAGCTTTTGTGCGGAGCCGGGAGCGGGGCTGCGGGACACGGGCACCGAGCCAGCCCGGCACGGGGACAGCTCCCGCCGAGGGCCGGGGGTCCCCACCTCACCCCGGGGCTGCCGGCCCCCAAATCCTGCCAGGGCTCCCAGAAATCCCGCTCTGAGCCAAGGGGGGGCCTTGGCAAGTGATGTCATCACCCCGTGGAGACCGCGATCCGTCTGGGCAGGAGCCCCCGAGGGTGCCAGGGCAGGAGGGGGCAGAAATGGGGTAGAAATGCTGCCATCACCCCATGGAGATCCCACTCCACTGGGGAAGGAGTCCCATTGAACCAGGGCAGGAGGGGGAAGAAAAGGGGTAGGAAATGAGCAGGGCATGGGGAGCTGGTGGTGCCAGGAAAGGAAGGGGCAGAAGTGGGGTAGAAATGCTGCCATCACCCCATGGAGATCCCACCCCATTGGGGCAGGAGCCTCTGGTGGTGCCAGGGAAGGAGGGGGCAGAAGTGGGGTAGAAATGCTGCCATCACCTCATGGACATTGTGCTCCGTTGGGGCAGGAGTCCTCTGGAACCAGGGCAGGAGGGGGAAGAAAAGGGGTAGGAAATGAGCAGGGCAGGGGGAGCTGGTGGTGCCAGGGTGGGGGAGATGCCCTGGATTTCCCCATCCACGCCCTGGCTGGGGGGCACAGTGAGGATCCCGCAGAGCTGGGCCGGCCTGGGGGGCTCCCTCCATCCCGGTGGGTCCCCAGCATACACCAGAGGCTCCCACTGTCCCCCAGCATGTCCCGGGGTGCCTCTGCTCCTTCCTGATGTGGATCCCACCCCTCTTCCCTCCTAGAGAGGGCCACCGGGCCAGCCCGGCCCGAGAGGGCCCCCCGGTCCCCCAGGAGTGCCGGGAGCGGACGGGATTGACGTGAGTAACCGGGAACCTGAGGGAGGCAGGGAGGGAGGGAGGGGAGCCGCGGGACAAAGAGGGACATTGTGTAGGGCGGAGGCTCGGCCAGGGCAGGGGATGCCGGTGCCGTGGGATTCCTGCTCCGTGCGAGTCCCGCTGCTCCTGGGCTGGGGCACACGGAGCGTCCCCGGCTTCTCCTGCAGCCCCGGGCAGCAAAGGTGGCACAGGGAGCACAGCTCCTGCACTGAGGGCTCCATCTCCAGCCACAGCTGCCCGTGGCCTCCCGAGCACCTTGGAAATTGGGGGCTGAAGTGGTTTTTGAGGGGGTTTGGGTGTTCCTCTGTCTGGGCAGCAGAGGATGCTCAGGGGGCTGCAGGGTCAGCCCAGAGGTGCCCAGTGAGGGGGGGAGGCAGGGGGGCTGGTGGGGAGCAGGACACCCCAGTGGGGTGCCCTCAGAGCGGTGATGTGGCCAAGGGCTGTGCTGGGGGGGCTGTGGCTCCAGATCCTCCCCGGGCCGTGGAGTGGGGGCCCGAACAGAGGGGAGATCTGTGAGCCAGCAGAACGTGCCCTTTCTCTGGGATGTGCCCCCAGGTGTTATTTTAGTGCTATTTATACCCAGAACAGCCACAACCTCCCCTCCCCAACCCAGCACAGCCCTCCCAAAACCCCAACACAACCCACTCTTCCCAACCCCAGCCCCATCCCAATTCCCCACCTGGCTGTGGAATCCAGCATCCCAGCTGGATTGAGCCCCCCTCTGGCTTGAGGAGGGGGACAAGGATGCTGAGCCCCCCACCCTGGGGGGTGACAGGTCTCTTTTATAACCTCCTTCCTCTCCCCAGGGTGACAAAGGCCCTGCTGGAGCCCCGGGCTCCCCGGTGAGTACCCGCCCTCCCCCCAGCTCCCCGCTGCTCCCCCTCCTCCCAGAGGAGCTCCTTCCATCCTGCCCCCTCCTCTTCTCTCTTCAAGGGTGTCAAGGGGGACCCCGGAGCCCCTGGCCCCGATGGACCCCCAGGGAAGCCGGGCATCGACGTGAGTACCCACCCCCTGCCCCCCCCGTGGGGTCCCTGCCCGCAGCAAACTCCTCTTACCGTGTCTGTCCCCCATCAGAACGGGCCCAAATCCCTGCCTGCGGGAGCTGGAAGCAGCTCTGGAATCACAGCAGAGCCCGGGCAGGGCTGGTGCCACCCCCTCCCACTGCCTGGGCACCCAAAAGCACATCCCCCTGCACCCCAGGCAGGGCAGAGCTGTGCCAGGGGAGCATGGACACCTTGGGCATGGAAAGGCTTTTCCTTGTCCTTTGCTGCTGCTGCTGCTGCCCTGTGCCCTCACTGAGCTCTTGTTTCCTCCAGAACAAACCTGGAGCAATCTCGTGTCCCCTCCTGCAGCCACCCCCCTGGCACCCATGAGGTGGCATCAGTGACTCCACCACTGTCCCCTCCCTGGCACGAGCAGAGTCACCACAGAAGTGGTGGCAGAAAGGGGACAGAGCTGTCACCTCCCCCTGCCTGGCTGCTGGGATGGGTCAGTCCCATCCCCAGGTCCCCTGGGTTGGGTCTCAGGGGTGTGTGATGGGTGCCCAGGGAGGGCTGGGTGGGCTCCTGCCCCATGCCCAGGTCAGTGCCAGGGACTTACCTCCTGATCAGAGGGAATCCCGAACTGCAGAGTCCTCTTCTGTGCCTCTGATGGCCCTTCATGAATCTTTGGGGGTTTAGTTATTCTTCAATAATAAATGAATAGAGAGATAACTGTCACTGTGAGCATGGATTATTCATCCAGCTGGATCTGCCTGCAAAGGGATTCAGCTCCTTCCATGGGAACAACCCCAGGGGCTGGGAATAACCTCTGGGATCTCTCCTCTTGCAGGGCCTGACAGGAGCAAAAGGGGAGCCAGGACCCATCGGAGCACCAGGAATTAAAGTGAGTGAGGGGCTGCTCTGGGGCAGCTTCTCCAGGCTCCCACTTTCCTTGGCTCCCACCTTCCCCTCTCGGAGCCAGCAGGGACCAGGAACTGGTGATGGAGGTTTTGGCAGTGAGGGGGCACCAGGGCTGGGTGAGGGAGGGGGGATTTTAGCAGCTGCCAGAGCAGACCCACCTGTTTCTGCTCCTGACTCTCCTCCTCTTCCTTGGCAGGGCCAGCCTGGACTTCCAGGGCCTCCAGGGCTCCCTGTGAGTATCTGCTGCTCCCACGGGTGCAGGGGATGCACCCACTGCTGTCACACGGGGGGTGGGGGCAGAGCAGGACTGTCCCCAGCCCCCCCAGCTGGTGCTGTGGCATCACCCTGCTGGGGACACGGATCCTACAGGGTCTGGGGGGTTGGGGAATTCAGACCAACCCTCTTTCTCCCTCTTGCAGGGCCCTTCTCTGCCAGGACCACCCGTGAGTGCCACACTGGGGGGTTGGGGGGATGGCCAGGGATCCTGCCTGGAATTGTGCTGGGAGAGCTCAAATCCCAGCACGCCCAAAGGGAGGCCTGGGGGTGTGACCTCTCTCACTCAGGGAATGTTTGTCTTCTCCTTAAGGGGCTTCCAGGCCAAGTGGGGCTTCCTGGAGAGATCGGGGTGCTGGGACCCAAGGTGAGGAGTCAGGAGGGGACATGGGAAAACCTCCCCTCCCTACCCCAGGATCTGCCCCTCTGCACTTCAGGGCTCCTGGGACAAACAGGGATGATCCTGGAATGTGGGAGGGTGGGACAGTGGGGCTGGAGGGGTGGCAGTTCTGTGCCACCAGCCTGTCCCCTGGTGCCATCCACCCTGGGGATGTCCCCGTTCCTGCTGTGACATCCTGGCTCTCCAGGTCTCCATCACCCCTCTCCACCCCAGCTCTGGAAGCACCTGCCACCTCCCCAGCCCTGAATCTCCTTTCCTGGGTCTGTTCTTTCCCAGGGTGACCCTGGACCCGACGGCCCCCGGGGCCCCCCAGGCCCTCCAGGGAAACCCGTGAGTACCCCCCGGCCACCAACACCTTCTGCACGAGGGAGAAGCTTCCCCCAGGCTCAGCCCTGGCTCTGGGGCCGGGACCTGGGCTCTGCCACGCCCCTCCCTCCTGGGAAATCATCCTCATACCAACCCAGGGATGCTGATGGTCTCCTTCCCTCCAGGGCCTCCCAGGACACATCCAAGGACTGGAGGAAGGCAGCGCTGATATCCTGGTGAGCTGCCATGGCCTCGTCCCTCCAGCAGGGCTCTGCAGGGCCCTGGAATGCAGCCCTCCCTGGAATTCTGTCCCTGGGGAGGAGCAGGGTCTCCAGCACAGCTGGGGTGTGAGCGGGGGGTCCCCTGTGTCACCGCTCCCACGTGGCACAGGAGCCCGTCCTTCCCAGCACGGCTTCTCCACAGCCTCCAGGTCCTTCCCCAACTCATCCTGTGCTTCTTCTTCCCCCCAGTGCCCGACCAGCTGCCCCCCAGGTCCCAAGGGCCCCCAGGGACTGCAGGGACTGAAGGTAAGGGAGCCCTGGAGCTGCTGGGGTGGAACAGGGACCGTCACCTCCAGCAGGTTGTGGCAGAGTGGAGGATCCATCCTCGCTCTGGAGCCACAGGGAGGGAGCTCAGGAACTGCCCTGCTCCCCTGGGAGCACCAGAACACACGTGCACAGAGAGCTCTGGAGCCACAGGGAGCTCAGGAACTGCCCTGCTCCCCTGGGAGCACCAGGACACACGTGCACAGAGAGCTCTGGAGCCACAGGGAGCTCAGGAACTGCCCTGCTCCCCTGGGAGCACCAGGACACACGTGCACAGAGAGCCCTGGAGCCAAAGGTGCCGTGGGAGAGGCCTCGAGTGGCTTCCCAGCTCCCACCAACCCTTTCCTGGGTGTGGGACCCCATGCCAAAGCCCCAGTCCCAGCCCTGCCACTGCCTCAGGAAGCTCCAGTGGGCCCCCCAGGGTGGGCTGAGGTGGGCAGGGGGGCTCTCAGGACGCTGCCACAGCCCTGCTGCTCTGCCAGGGGTGCTCACGATCTTCTTGTTCCCCCGCAGGGACACAGAGGCCGCCCCGGTGCCCTCGGGGAGCCCGGCAGGCAGGGGGGGCAGGTGAGTTCCCAGCACATCCAGGTGTCCCTGGGGCCTCTGGAGGAGCAGGGGATGGACCCAGCGGGAGAAAAGGGGGGAAAAAAGGAAGAAAAGAGGTGGGAGAGGAAGGCGGGAAATCCAGGGCTGGGAGAGGGAGGGGGACAGGGTGGTCTTCCCAAGGTGGCTTCCCGGGCAGGGACACCTTCCCCATCCCCTGCTGGGTCCCAAGGGAGGGGGTCTTGTGTCCCCAGGGCAGTTTGTACCCCCACTGCCCCCCAACACTCAGTTCTCTCCCTGCCCAGGGCCCCAAGGGCGACGTCGGTGCCTCTGGAGAACAAGGAGTCCCCGGCCCGCCGGTAACACACTCCCCCCTCTCTGCTCCTCCACCCCCCAGGGCCCCAAAAACTGGGGGTGCCCACTTTGTGCTCGGCCCCAGACACCGGGGAGGTGACACCAGTGTGTCCCACACAGCCCTGGGGCTGCAGCAAAGCCTTCCTCCCACCCATCTCCCTCCTCCTCCCAGGGTGTCACCACCTCTCCCAACAGAGACCTCGGCTGCTACCATGGATAACTCCTGGGCCAGGACAAAGCTCTCCTGTGCCCCGAGCCCCCCTCACCCCACCTGAAAGGGGGGGTGCAGCCCCCAGCTCACGGCAGGGCCGGGGGGGGATTAAAGCTGCAGGAGCTCCCTGAGCACTTTGAAGATGAAAAGCAATTAATGGGCTGAGCCCTGGGTCCAGGGAAGGGCAGAACTGCTTTGAAGCAGAGCTTTGGCAGGGCAAGAGACTCCAGTTTGGGCCCGTTGCTGTGATGGAATCGACAGCTGGAAAAGCACCTGCTGGGGGGCTGCAGGATTAGGAGGGGCTGGAACCCCCCGTGTTTGGCCAAACGGGCTGATTCCCAACCCCGGGGGTTGCTGGAATCGCAGCCTCCCCCTGGGCTGCTCCAGGGGGGCTTCCCAGCTAAACTGGAACTGTGCTTCCCTTCCCCACAGGGACCTCAGGGCCCCAGGGGGTACCCCGGGATGGCAGGACCCAAGGGCGAGACGGTGAGTGCTGCTGGGGGGCTCGGGGGGCCCAAATTCCATGGCAGCGATTCCCAGGCTGGAGGCGCTTCCCGGGACCGTCACCAACACGTTGGGCTGCCTTGGGGAGCTGGACCTGCCTCCTGCTGGGTGGGGCTGGGGGTTGGGGTGCCAGGCATTGACCCCCCCTTGTGCTCTCTTTGCAGGGCCCTGCTGGGTACAAGGGCATGGTGGGGTCTGTTGGAGCGGCTGGGCGGCCGGTGAGTGCCCCCCCAACCCCACCCCGGGGGCTCAGGGACCCCCCAGTTCCCTGCTCAGCTCTTGCCTTTCTCCTCTGCAGGGCAGGGAAGGCCCCAAGGGACCACCCGGGGACCCCGGTGAGAAGGGAGAGCTGGTAGGTGACCCCCCCAGTGCCAGTGTCCCTGTGCCCCACGTGGAGAGGGGCTCTGCCCAGGGTGTCCCATCTCCTCCCTCTGCCAGCCCCACCCTCTGCCCCAGGGGCACACTGACCTGACACTTGCCCTCTCCTGCTCCAGGGTGGCCGTGGCATCAGGGGACCCCAGGGAGACATCGGCCCCAAGGGGGAGAATGTGAGTACAGCTGGTGGCACCTGTGCCAGGGCTGGGAATGAGCCTCTTCTGTCAAGGAGAAGATCCCTCTGTGTCCCATGCTGTGTCCTTGCACCCTGGCAGGGCTGAAGCTTTCCCTTCCCTTCCCTTCCCTTCCCACCTCTTTTTGTCCCCCCATGAGCCTTTCAGGTGGGACAGAGGTGATCAAGTGACTCTCCCCCCCTGTCGCAGGGTCTGCCGGGCATCGATGGCAAGGATGGCACCCCGGGTATCCCGGGGGTGAAGGTGAGCAGGGGCAGGTGCTGCCTGTGCTGGCACAGGGCACAGACACACCCTGAATCTCGTGCTGGGAATAACAGGGATGGCAGGTGGGATAAGCTCCCAGCCCCTGGCTCCACTGCTGGCTGGTGGAGATTGGCAGTGCCCCCCCTTTGCCCCACCCGTGACACCCTCTGTGCCCCTCCCAGGGCAGTGTGGGACAGGCTGGACGCCCGGGAACGCCAGGACACCGGGGACAAGCTGTGAGTGCCGGGGGACCCCCCAAACTGGGCTGGCACCCCCTCACCCGTGGGGTGACACCCCTATCCTGGGTGGTGCCAGCGCCCAGCAGGGACGCTGCTGGCAGTGCTGTGCCCAGGGTTTGAGCCCAGCTTGGTTTCCCCAGGGCTTGCCAGGCCAGCCGGGAAGCAAAGGTGGCCCGGGAGACAAGGTGGGTGACCCCCCTGCCCCGAACACCCACTGTGACCCCACAGCTGCTGTGCCCTCAGCCTTGTCCCCACGCTGTCCCCTCCCCACCCCTGCTGTCCCTGAGCCACCTCTGTCTCCCCACAGGGTGAAGTGGGTGCCCGTGGCCAGCCTGGTGTCACCGGTGCCCCAGGGCAGCTTGTAAGTACAGAATGTCACCGTGGCCCCCCCGGGCACAGCCTGAGGGCTGCTCTCTCTCTCTTTTTCTCTCCCTCTCTCTCTTTTCCCTGTTTCCTGTCAAACCAAAAGCATTACTGGGCAGTTTTATCCCCCCTCTGCCCCTCACGGGGTCACTGCTCCAGCCCTGTGTCCATCACCTCCTCGGCCACCAGTGCCTGCAGGGGACACGGGCACGTCCCTGGGGAAGGATGTGATGCCCAGGGATGCCCGAGAAGTGCCCTGGGTGTTTGTGTCTCTGTTTCAGGGGGAGCCCGGCCCTCGGGGCGAGCAGGGCCCAGAGGGTGTCCCTGGGCTGAAGGTGAGTGGGGGGCACTGGGGGGGGCTCTGGCTGTGCCAGGAGCTGCCCCTGACTGTGCCCTTTTCCTGGGTGTCCACAGGGCGACCGGGGCGAGCGTGGCCTCGTGGGGCCCCCGGGGGAGCAGGGCAGAGTGGTGAGTTGTGCCTACGGCAGGGTTGGGCACTGGGGGGGCTCAGCCCGGCGGTCTGGGGGCTCTGCCATGGATGCTGAGCCCTGAGGGGTCAGTGGGACACAGCTGGAGCTCGCCTTTGATCCAGCCTGGGCTCAATCCCGTGCCCATCCCGCTGGGTCTGGCTGCCCCAGGGGGAGGGATTAACCCGGGGCAAACAGCTCAGGGATTAGTGGTGCTGGGACCACGCTGGGTTTGCAGCCCCAGCAGGGACAGGAATTTCCTCCCAGCCCAGCAAGGGGGGGAGAGGCTGCCTGGGCCCTCTGGGAGGCTTTTCTGGGGTGGAAAAATAGCCCCAAAATGACCTTTGTCCCTTTTCCTGGGGACAGGATCCCATCCCTGGATGATTCTCCCTCTTGGCACAGCCTGGGTGGAGGCTCCTCCATCATTCTCTGCCCTACTCCGCCTCAGAACCTGGATTCAGGGGAGGTTGGGATGCTGGGGGGGCAGCCAGAGCTGCTGGAGGGAATTGGGAGCTGCTCATGCAACCCATGGCCTTGGAGAGGATGCTCTGATAGGGGAGGAAGGTCCTTCCTTTGCCTCTTCTCACTCATTTTTCCCTTTTTCCCCATGTTCCCTTGATTCCCAGGGGCCGAAGGGCGAGCAGGGTCATCCAGGGATCCCGGGACCCCAAGGCTTGCCAGGAGTCAAAGGAGACAAGGTGAGTGCTCTGCCTGCTCAGGGCAGAGCTGGGGCTCAGGGAACGTGCCCTGAGCTGGGCTGATCCCCCTCTCCTTTCTCCAGGGCTCCCCAGGGAAAACTGGCCCCAAAGGCAGCGTTGTGAGTACATCCCCCCCTGCCCGGGCTGAGCCCGTGTCTGACACGGCTGACTCCAAACACCTTCTCCACAATTCCCTCACGTCCCCACGGAACTCACCGTGTCCAAAGGGGAGTCCTCCTGCAGAGGGGGTGGCTCCTGGTGGGGGAAGGTTCATCTCTCCTGTCGCTTTTCCTCTAGGGAGACCCCGGTGTCCACGGCCTGGCTGGGCTGAAGGGAGAGAAGGTGAGTCCTGGCATGGGGTGGACGTGGGTCCCTGTCCCTGTGGGGTCTCCTGCCCAGCATGTTCCCACAGCAGCACACCCCAGGGGGGGTCCACGTGCATCCCCCCAAGCTGCCTCTCCAGGGTCCTGCTCCCTCCCCATCGCCTTTCCTGTGTCCTCTGTCCCCACAGGGTGAATCCGGAGAGCCGGGGCCAAAGGGACAGGTGAGTCCCGGGGGGGTTTGGGGGCCAAAGGGACAGGTGAGTCCCAGGGGGTTTGGGGACCAAAGGGACAGGTGAGTCCCGGGGGGGTTTGGGGACCAAAGGGACAGGTGAGTCCCGGGGGGGTTTGGGGGCCAAAGGGACAGGTGAGTCCCGGGGGGTTTGGGGACCAAAGGGACAGGTGAGTCCTGGGGGGGTTTGGGGACCAAAGGGACAGGTGAGTCCTGGGGGGTTTGGGGACCAAAGGGACAGGTATCCCGGGGGGGGGGTTTGGGGGCCAAAGGGACAGGTGAGTCCCCCGGGGGGGTGTGGGGGACCAAGGGACAGGTGAGTCCCCGGGGGTTTGGGGACAAAAAGGACAGGTGATTCCTGGGGGGGTTGGGGACCAAAGGGACAGGTGAGTCCCGGGGGGGTTTGGGGCCAGGGGGGCTCGGAGGGACCCTCAGCCCCAGCTGACCCTGCTGCTGCTCCCTGGAGCTGCCTCGTGCTGCACACGGGCGGCCCGAGGGAGTATTTTCCCTGGACTGGGCTGCAGTGACCACGCTCAGCCCTGGATCGGGGGGCTATGGGGGATCTTTGGGGTCTCGGGGTGCAGCCCCTGTACCCAGGACAGGGCTGAGCTCCTGAGGCTTCTCTCCCTCCCTTGCAGCAAGGCATCCAGGGTGACCTGGGCTTCCCTGGCCCCTCAGGGGATGCAGGAGCACCGGGGGTGAGGGGCTACCCCGGCCCCCCCGGCCCACGGGGGCTGCTGGGGGAGCGTGGAGTGCCAGGGATGCCCGGCCAGAGGGGCCTAGCGGTGAGTACCCCCTGCCCCACACCCCCCTCACCTCCTGCCACCACCAGCTCCTCCAGTCCCGCAGGAGAATTGGCCTCTGAAGCTTTTCTTCCCACCTGAGTCCTCTGGGAAGTGGCTGCTGTTCCACTCAGGGGCTGCCTGATTGATATATTGATATATTTCTAATATAAAATAATATAATATTTATAGTATTATTATATATAATTATACACATTATATATTATAATTATACATTATATATTATCATATAATATATAATTATATATTACATATAATTATTATATATAATTATATAATTATATATAATTACTGTATATTATCTATTATATATAATAGATATAATTCTTATATATTGTATATTATATATTATAATATATTCTATATTATTATAAATATTTACAATATTCATAATAAAATAATATAATATTTATAATACTTACAATGAAAAATAAATATTGATATGTTTATAATATAAATATATTATCATGATTACGATCATCATCATAATTATATATATAATATATAATATATTAATAATATATATAAATATATATAAACCATCCAGCAGCGGGTTTAGCTCCAACGTGGCCTTTGCAGCCTTCCTGGGGTCGGGATTTTTCCGTATAAACCTCATTTTAGGCTCAAAAACGTGGCTGCAGGAAGTTAATGCCACGAGCAGCGGGCACGGTGTGAGCTGAGCCTGGAGCACTTGGACTGGGACAGGATGGAAAAGAGAAGGGTGGGAGGGTGCTGCTGGGTGCAGGGGGTGCTCAGGACCAGGGGCTGGGGCTGGGAATGGCTCTGTGGGAGCAGGTGGGGACAGAAGGAGCGATGGTCCTTCATGGCCTGTCCCTCCTGTGCCCGCCAGGGCCGGGACGCCGGGGACCAGCACATCGTCGACGTGGTGCTGAAGATGCTGCAAGGTGAGGGGGGAGCAGGGCACTGCCAGGCAGGTGGCAGCCAGCCCGTCCCACCCATCCCACCCCATCCATCCCACCCCACCCCACCCCATCTCATCCCACCCCATCCATCCCACCCCACCCCACCTCATCCCACATCCCATCCCATCCCACCCCACACTGGCCTCCCTCTGCCCCACAGAGCAGCTGGCGGAGGTCGCCGTCAGTGCCAAGAGAGCTGCCCTGGGGGGAGTCGGTGCCATGGGACCCCCTGGCCCCCCTGGGCCCCCAGGGCCTCCTGGTGAGCAGGGCCCACATGGCCCCATGGGCCCCCGAGGTGTCCCCGGGATCCTGGGAGCCGCCGGGCAGATCGGCAACGCGGGACCTAAAGGTGGGTCCAAAACTCCTCCTCTGCCCCCTCCACCCCTGAGCAGGGGCAGCCCCCCATCCCTCCCATCCCATCCACTGCCTGGTATTCCCGTGGCTCCATCAACTCCCTCCCTCCCTGTCTCTCCCCAGGGAAGCGAGGAGAGAAGGGCGAGCGGGGAGAAGTTGGCCGTGGCCACCCAGGAATGCCGGGTCCCCCCGGGATCCCAGGTGAGACCCTCTGTGCCCAGCACGGGCAGGGCTGGATGCCCCTTGCTGGTGGGATGCTGAGCCCAGGAGTGGCTCTGAACCTTGTGGTCCATCCTGCAAAACCTGCCCAGGTTCATCCCCTAAACCTCCTCCCTGCAGCACCCTTTTCTCCCTCCTCACTCTGTTTGTGGGGTCATCCTGGCAAGGGCCAAATCCCACCCCAGGGAGACCCAGCACAGCGTTCTCCTCCCTCCCCTTTGCTGCCCAGCAAAGCATTTTGCCATATGGATCCTTATCTCCTCAACAGGGAAAGGGGGAATGGATTCAAACGGGAAAAATAGTAGGTTTGGGTGGGATCTTGGGAAAAAATCCCTCCCTGGGAGGTTGTGAGGCCCTGGCACAGGTTGCCCAGAGAAGCTGTGGCTGCCCCATCCCTGGGAGTGTCCAAGGCAAGGTTGGAGCAATCTGGGATAGTGGAAGGTGTGGGGGTGGAACGAGATGATCCTTAATATCCCTTCCAACCCAAGCCATTCCATGATTCTCCAAGCGTCCTCCCCCCACCCCTTTCCTGTCCCCCCTCTTGCTCTGCCAACACATCCCCCCTTCCCCTGCAGCGTTTCCCCCATCCCAGCGCCCCCAAGCCCCCAAATCCCGTTCCCATTGCAGGCCTCCCCGGCATTCCCGGCCACGCTCTGGACGGCAAAGCGGGCGAGCGGGGCCTGCCGGGCGCCCCGGGAGAGGCTGGCAAGCCGGGACTGCCCGGGCCCACGGGGCTGCCCGGGTTCTGTGAGCCAGCTGCCTGCCTGGGAGCCTCGGCCTACGCCGCTGCCCGCCTGGCAGAGCCGGGCACCGTCAAGGGCCCCCTGTACTGAGGGGCAGCACCAGGAGAGACCACGACACTGCAAACCCCCAGGGAGACCCCCCACCCCTCCCTCCAGCAGCCAGAGTGGGAAGCACATCCCTGGGAATTCGATCCGGGCTGGGAAGAACCCCAATCCCACGGCTCGGGAGCGGTGGAGGATAAAGAGTCGCCTCCAGTGCCACCCTCGGGGTTCGTTCCCTGTGCCCCTTCCCAAAGAAATAAATTGTCTTTTATACAAACCCTCTCGCTCTGTTATGTCCTGCTTGGTGCTGAATGGGCTCATTGAAATTTCCTTTTTTTTTTTGTACTTTCTTTTTTTAAAATTTTTTAAAAATTTTTTAATTTTTGAAATTAATTTTTTTAATTTAATTTTTAAATTTTTTTTAAATTCAATTTTTTAAAAATTTTTTAAAATCAAATTTTTAAAAATTTTTTAAATTCAAATTTTTAAAAATTTTTTAAAATCAAATTTTTAAAAATTTTTTAAATTCAAATTTTTAAAATTTTTTTAAAAAATTTTTAAATTCAAATTTTTAAAATTTTTTTAAATTTAAATTTTTAAAAATTTTTTAAATTTAAATTTTTTTAATTTAATTTTTTTAATTTAATTTTAAAAAAAATTAAATTTAAATTTTTAATTTTTAAAATTTTTAAATTTTAATTTTTAAAGCCTTCCCCCCCCCTCCCATTTCCAAATTATGGTTTGGTCATTTAAGGCACTTCCCACATCCAGGCCTCGTTCAGCCCCGGGCACTCACAGAGCTGTAAATCTTTGTAAAATAGGATTATTTTATGAACTGTGAGTAGAAAACCACCGACTTTTTTTACTAAAAACGGACAATAAAAAAACAAGATGGATGGTTAAGAACTGAAATGTGTTGATTTCTTTGAATCAAACCAAGACTATCCGGGGGTGGTGGTGGGGAGATTATTGGAGGGCTGAAATTGGTTTTTCTGTTGTTTCAAGCCCTTTATTGGGCATCTCAATGGCTCGGTCACACCCTTGGGGACAATTCCAGCCTCTCCATAGGTTTGCTGAGCAAACTTTCTCCCTTCCCTCTGGCACCGCTGGAAACGCAAGGAGGAATCTCCCACCCCGAGTGGAATTTCCCACCCCCGAGTGGAATTTCCCACCCTGAGCATCCCACATCGGAGCAAATTCCCAGAGGAATTTCCCACCCTGAGTGGAAATTTCCCACCCCAAGCATCCCACATTGGAGCAAATTCCCGGAGGAATTTCCCACCTCGAGCATCCCACGTCGGAGCAAATTCCCAGCGAGCGAGGCCGAGTCAGACCGGGTCCCCTGGCAGCCGAAGGGGCCAGACAACGATTGGCGAGGCTGCAGAGGGTATCGATCCCCTAAACAGCTGCAGGGGGGGCTGTGGCTCCGCCGGGACCCGCGGGTGTCCCTCTCGCTCCTGCCATCGACAGCAGGCGGGGTTAAAGCCCCGCAGCAGCGAGATAAATAAAAATCGATCCCTGTTTATTAGCGAAGCATGTTGGGCTCGGCAGGGGGACAAATCCCAGGGCACTGCGGTGGGAAGGGCTGGAGGGGCCTTTCTGGAAAAAGGGCAAGGAGAACAGGCACAGGGAGCAGCAGGAGGCAAAAGGCGGCTCGGGAGGTGGGGGGTCATCCTGGCAAGGGTCAAATCCCAAATCCCACCCCAGGGAGACCCAGCACAGCGTTCTCCTCCCTCCCCTTTGCTGCCCAGCAAAGCATTTTGCCATATGGATTCTTATCTCCTCGACAGGAAAAAGGGGAATGGATTCAGACTGGAAAAAAATTAGGTTTAGGTGGGATCTTGGGAAAAAATCCCTCCCTGGGAGGGTGGGGAGGCCCTGGCACAGGTTGCCCAGAGAAGCTGTGGCTGCCCCATCCCTGGGAGTGTCCAAGGCCAGGTTGGAGCAACCTGGGACAGTGGAAGGTGTCCCTGCCCATGGCAGGGGGTGGAATGAGATGATCCTTAATCCCTTCCAACTCAACCCATTCCATGATTCTCCAAGTGTCCTGTCCTCATTCCCCGTTTAAATTCCCTGTGCCCTTTCCAAACCCAGATCGAATCAGCTCACTCCAAGGGGATTGTCCTTCACTAAAACAAAACCTAAAAAATTTGGGAGCGAATTGCAAATGTTTTATTTGCAAGCAGGAATTCAATCCAGGAATTAAAGACGCCGTGGATTAATTAGGGGCCGGGCTCTGGTTGTTTCCCGTTGAGTGGCAAATCCAAACCTGCCTCTCCATCAGAGCCCTCATAAATATTCATCCACTAAACAGCAGATCGGTGCCATCACAGAGACAAGAGAGACTGAAACCCAAAACCACCGGAAAACATCCAACCCCGTCCCAAATCCCATAAAAAAGACCCGCTGCTGGGAGAGGGGAAGGAACAGCCCGGCAGAGCATTTGTCTCCGTTTCTGGGGAGATTCATCCCGGTTCCATGCCGGGAGGAATCCAGGTTGTCCAAGCCCTCCGGGAATGCGCTCCAGCTGTGCGGCACATCTGGGGCCGCCCGCGCAGCCCAGCCCAGCTCTTCGCTGCCGTTTTCCCCACGAGAGGGAGCTGCCAGCCCGTGGAATTCCCTCTTCCAGCCAGCCCACGGCGGCGATATTCCCGATAAACTCAGTTTTCCCCCCTGGAAAGGGCTGGAGGATCGTGCCAGGGCTGCTTTGGGACGGGGGAGAAAGGGTGAACCCCCTTCGTTCGACCTCTTCCCACCTCTGGGATGGGAAGGCACTGGGAGAAGGGAAACTCGGGCCCAGAGGTTTCCTGCAGGGACACAGAGGGGCTGAGAGCTGTGGCCCTGGAGCAGGGAAAAGCCACTTCCAGGAGGGAAGCTGAGCTGTGGCCCTGGAGCAGGAAAACACCAATTCCCAGGACAGACCAAGGGCTGTGGAGGCTGGAGAGCCTCTGCTGTGCCTGCAGAGTGTCCTGGGCATCCCAGGAGGATGCAGAATCCCCCAGAAGCCTGGGGGGTCCTCAGTCTTGCACCCAAAGTGCACACCCCAGGCAGGGGTGGCAGAGGGCCAGGATGCTGATCCAGCTGATCCCGTGGCCTCTGGAGCCAGGAAACCCTCCCAAAAAGTGCTGAGTGCAGTGGTGAACGAGCTCTGCCCTGGCAAGGGGCAGCTTTGACCTTCCAGACACTCCCCAGCACATGCCATGGCACAGCACAGCCAGCACTGGGTGCTGAGCCATCAGAGCCTGGCAAAGCCACTGCCTGGGAGGATTAAGAAGAGCAGGATTTAATTAGAATGCCAGGGAAGAGCTGTCTGGGGCTCTTGCTCTTTTCTCTCCCATCTGCTCGTGCCTTTTGAGGCTGCTGGGAGCCAGCCCAGGTCCTTGTCACCTCAGCCAGTCCCTGTTCCCAGTTGTTCCAACCTGTTTTCAAAGCAAAGACGTGTGGAATCTTTTAACATTCTCACCAGGGCTTCAAGAACCTGCTCCCACATTGATCCCTGCAGCTACAAAGGCTCTGGGAGCACGAAGGTTTGGAGTCCAGCACCATCTCTGGTTTTCAGGGATGGGAAAGACAAAAGGGAAAAGTGAAAAGGAATCAAGACAGACCCCTCTGGGTTTGCACAAAGTGCTGAGGCTCCTGCAAGGGCTTTGTTTCCCTTCCCACCTCCTTTGAAAGCCGTGGGAAAAAGAGAAAAGGAAGAAGCAGTTTGATTTCTGTGGCCTGGAGTCATTCCACTGTCTCAGGCTGCTCCAACCTGGCCTTGGACACTTCCAGGGATCCAGGGGCAGCCACAGCTTCTCTGGGAAACTGTGCCAGGGCCTCCCCACCCTCCCAGGGAAGGATTTCTTCCCAATATCTGGACTAAACCATCTCAGGGACCACCCTCAGACCCCACTGTCTCCTCCTTGGTTGTCCGTGGTCACCCACCCCAGGTGACATTTCCCTGGCACAGGGGCCACCAAATGTGCCCCCAGGGCAAGGCTGGCACATGAATAATTCAGGAATGACATCAAAGTTTCCTTGAGCTGATGCATTGATTAGACCAAATTGCCTCCCTCACCCTCGAGGAGGTAAAGATGAGCTAATCACCGTTTGTTCTCTCTCAGATAGATGATTAACCACAAATTAGAATATTAAACAGAGGACTTTGGGTGCGTAAATTAACGGCTGAGAACTGAGTTAATTATTGGAGGAGCCATAAAACTGCTTATTTTTAATTCTTGCATTATTGTTTGATTTTTTTTTTTTGGCCTCTTTTGGAGAGGGAGTTTTTTTTTTTTTAAAATGGCTTGTTCTGCTGTTGTGGCTGTAGGAGCTGGGACACACAGGGTAAATGACACCAGTTTGAAGGCACAGCCTCACTTTGCCCTCCCTAACTCGGTTTTCCAACCACCAGACGCAAATTTCAGAAGCACAGGATATTTTTGGGGTCAGAAGGGACCTTGAAGATCATCCCCTTCCATGGGCAGGGACACCTTCCACCATCCCAGGTTGCTCCAAGCCCCGTCCATCCTGGCCTGGGACACTTCCAGGGGTGGGGCAGCTCCTCTGGGAAGTCTCCCTGAGCCAGATGCTGTCAAGGAGCTCCTGTTCCTCCCTGAGCCCAGTTAGTGGTGCCAACAGTGGCAGTGGTGGCACCAGGCCACCAGCACAGAGAGTCCTGTCCCCTCCTCCCCGGGGTCCTGCCACGGTGCTCCCACACCCGGCAAAGGGGGAAGGAGCTGCTGACAAAAGGCTGATTTAATTACTAGAATTGTTCTGATTACAGCCTGCAAACACTGTTATCTTGTAATTATTGCCAAGAACATGCCATTAGCACATGATTAAACACAACGTCTTGTGGGCTGCTGCTGATTGTCTGATGCCTTATGAACTTAATTACTTCGTGCTGATCGAGAGCAACTGCAGGGATGGAATGGGGCAGTGGCTCCAGAGGGGAGAGCTGGGGCACCCTGCAAAGAAGGGGCCCCTCAGCTCCTTTTTCAGGTGCTTGGCCTCAGCCAAAACCCAGCCACGGGCAGGATCAGCACCTCAGTCCTTCCCTTGCTCTGCCCCAGACCAAGATTCCTCCCAGACAAAAGGTGCCAGGACAGAAAGCTCTTGCTGCCCGTGGAGTGCCACCAACTGCACCCGACCCCCAGAGCTTCCAGGCTTTTCTTTCCTGGGTTTGATGCCTCTTGTCCCGTGTTTAAACTCAGCCCCCTGGAGCTGCCAACACACACAGGGCACCAGCCTCCTGCCCAGGGCTCTCTAAAAGCTCAGGAGCCTCCGTTCAGCAGGGACAAACCCAGAGGTCTGTTGGGTTTGTGCAGATGGGAAGGTGGT